GTAATAAAATATTATGAAATGAAATTTTCTACAATATATATTGAATTATAATAAAAATAATTAAATTCAAAGTAATCCAAAAATAATAAACCTGAAACAAAATATGTTAAAATACTAGCTGTTGAATTTCAAAAGTTTACATTATCATTAAAAAATTTAGTATTGAACTTTGAAAGTTTTTGATAACAAAATAATACAGATTGAAATTTAACTGTTAAATTTTGATTTTGAAGGATTGTGACATAATTAATAACCTTTGAAATCTAACATTGCGATATAATTTCAAAAGTTTTCAAATTAATATAATTACTGATATAGTATTATTTTAGATAATATATAAACTGTAAAAATACTTTCATATGTAGCTACAATTATACTTGCACGTAAAATTATTTTAGAATTTCGAAATTATAATTTTGGAAAAAAAAATTGAAATATCTCAAAAATTCAAAATCAATTTTGAAAACATATATAGTTACAATTGAATGAACATATTAAATTAATTTTTTTATATCAGTTGATTGTAACTATATATAAAAATATTTTTTACTTACATATAGATTATGAATGATGATACTAAATAACTTTATTCTAAAGAATATAGTGTATTTACTGTAAAAGTTTGAGATTTTTAAAATACAAATTAGATAAAAAATTAGTGATTTTAAAATAAAATTATTAATTACTTATTCAATTAATTTTTAAAAATCTTAAATTTTTATGATAGATGCATTGTATTCTCTAGAATAAAATTACTTAGTATTATTTCAATGGCCCATAATTAATAAAAATATTTTTATATATGAAAAAGATAAACTAATATTTTTAATAATTTTATTATATTTTTTACTTTTATTTAAAGTTAAAATTCTAGTTTATATCTTAAATACAATAATAATTAAAGATATTTTAAATAATAAAATTTATATTTTTTATTAAGTTATTCTATAGTTCTAATTAATTTATAATAAGATAATTAAAATTATAGAATAAATTTTTATAAAATTAGAGCTTTATTGAAAAATAGACAATTTTCAAATATAAATTTCATATAATTTTTATATGACAATTTGAAAGTATTAAGTATAATTATATGTATCTGATAATCAATAATTTATGATAAAAATTTTATCACACAAACTTAAATCTTTATTAATTTTTATACAGATATTTAAGAAAAAATTTGTAGGCAAATTTGTCTGAAATTGTTTACAGTTTAAGGGATAATTATAATTATCATCAAAAAATTTTAATAAATGATGAACAATGAATATTTTTTGACTTCACTTATAATTTACAAAGTACTGAGAGATTTTTTACTAAGATAATTCTAAAATAAAAAGAAAGACCCTGTTCTTAATTACAAAATGACATGTATTTTATTTCAGTAGTATCAATATTCGTGTTTAAATCAAATGTCTGCAAAAATTTTTATTATAAATTTTTTATAATTTTTTATAATTCTAACCAGAGTTATGAAAAATTTATGATAGAAATTTTACAGACATTTGAGTTTAAACACTAATATCCTCACAAATATTGATACTACCTGAATGAAACATATATTACATTGTAGCTGAGAACTAGAATTTTCTTTTTATCATAGAAATATTTTAATAGAAAATTGTTCTTTGTCACCTAAATTATTGCTAAAGTAAAAAACAGATTTTTCTTTGTATAATTTTATATATAAATTAAATGATCTATATATTTGAAATTTATAATGAAAATTTTACAATCACTTGACTTTAAACATAAATATTGATAATTGATACTATAGGAATAAAAAAATATATTATCTTGTAATCAAGAACTAGGGTTTTCAATTTGTTATAGAAATATCTTAATAGAAGATTGATTCCTGTCACATAAATCATGACCAAAGTTAAAAAAGATATTATAACAGAATTGCAGTATTACAACAAAATTAGGGTATTATGGAAAATAGTTACTACTAATTATAACTTTTGAAAATAATTATAACAGATATCTTTAAACATTACACTGAAAAAGAAAAAAAGCAAAAGTCTGAAATTGAGAGGAAATCCAAAATCAGAAGAATATTTTAATACTAAAGCTTAGTTAAACAAATAAATTTTAGAACTTTCTAAATCATATTTAAATAATTTTTTTTAATTCAATGTAATATTTTTTAAATTTTTTTTTTTGTCTTAGACTATATATATTTCCAAAATTGATTTTTTGATTTTTGGAATATTTCATCTTTTTGAGATTTATACAGAATCTACTCTATATATAGAAATAAAAAAATATCTAGTTAAGTGTATTTTTAATCAAAAAATTTTGAATTTTAAGTAAAATAATTTCATTTTTTATGAAAACCTATTTTGACTTTTTTTTTCAAAATTACAATTTTGGAATTCCAAAATAATTTTGCATGCAAGTATATCTTAGACAGTTACATGACATGCTAGGTTTAGATTTTCAAACCTTAGTAAATGGTCAGACTGTAATTTAGATTAGTAAAATAGTTTAGATTTAGTCAAATTTTATTTTCAAATTTGTAATTTTTATAATAGTTTAAAAACTGTTACTAAATCTTATTATATGAATAAAGTTGAAGTTACACTAGTCATCTTTAAAAAAAAAAAATTCAGTTCCATTTAACCATTGAGCTAGACTTGAGCCAACTATCCTTACACATGATATTTATTTATTGATATTTGAATACCTATTAATTATATATAACAAGATTTTTACATTATCACACTAATTTGCAAAATACAATAATTTAAAAATTTTATTTAATAATTTTAATAAAATATCTTTATATTAGTAGTGTGACTATCAAGGGATAACTGAAATATTTATTCTTTTTTGAAGAAAAACAAGAAACAATTTGTTGAATAATAAAATGCATTTGATTACAAGTTATCATTTTTAATTTAAATAGAAATAATTAATTGATCTAATAAATGGACCATTATTTAAATTTTGTTGAAAAAGGTTGTTCAAATGCTTCTTGAATTCTTTTTACCTATATTTTATTAATATATAATATATATAAATACAATCAAAAATATAACAATTATAATTGTAAATTTCAAAAAATAAAATAAACATATATATAAGGAAAAAAATAACAAAAATTACCTTTTGATGACCTAATCCAGGACATAAAGTAAGTTGCTCAAATGAAGTAGACATGATTTTCTTCAATGACTAAATATTTCAAAAAAAATTAAAATCAAATCATTATCAATAACAATGGAAAAAAAAAACTTACTCCAAAAGAAGAAGCAAGTGTTATCACATCAGTCTTGTTTATGGATTTTATTTGAGTCATACAATGTGTCAACTGTAATATTAAATTGATATAACTTTAATATATATTAAAAGAATTAAAGAAAAGAAAAAATGTATATTCATATATAAATACTTTTGATAGATAATCATCTTCGACCTTTTCCATAATCATATCTGGTGATTTATGTTCGAAAGCTTTACATGTTTCAAGATATCTTCCAGCTTCTTCTTGACTATTAAAAAAAATTATTAAAATATTCAAAATCAAGAATAATTTATCAAATAGATCAAATAAATCATAATACGTTACCTCCAAGCAAGTATTATTGTAAAATTATTTAAAACACAAAGTTTCGTAAGTTCACGAATGGGTTCTTGATGAATTTCCTTGTAATAAAAAATTATTATTTAAATAATATTAATTATAAAAATATCTGATAAAATTTAATATACATAGAATGAAATTTTAGTACTTACAACATCTACAAGAATTAACATAATCCTAAGTAAATAATGATGAGCAAGTTTTTCGATTCTATTGAAAATATATTCAGGATGAAGTCTATGATATTTAAGACTGTAGAGATTTTTAATGTAAATAATTTCAGTAATGAAAAATCCTAATATTCTTCCCAAGATTATCATAATTATTATACCTAAGAAATAATGCACAAGTTGTCTGTCCTAGTAAATAATCCGGAACGATTTCACCATATTCCCATGGAACATTTCGAATACATTGTAAGATAGGATTACCTTTCTAAAATCATTATCATCAATTAGACGACGTGTCAAAAGAAAATTAAGAAGAAAGTTGATGTTTTAATTTTCTTACTTGACACGAATTAACTATTATAGCATTATATGATATACGTTTAACAGATGACGATAAAGTTCCATTCCCTACAAAAGCTCCTTGATCCAATACTTCTCTCGCACATTTCAAAATATGTTCAAATCTAATTGAATCAAGAACTATATCGCTACACCATCGTGTCACAATTACTGCTATATTCTTGACATCGAGTGTTCTAAGAAGATTTAATAAACGTTCCCCCGCATATTTTTCACCATCATCCTCACTTTCTAATTATTGATATTTGATTATTGACCAATGTTATTTACCAATATTTTATAAAAATTTCAGGCTGACCTTCAGTAATAACTCCACCTAAATTTTCTATTCGAAAAGCCAATACATTGTGTGTCGCGTTCTTTTCTTCAAGTTTTATTGTATTTTTAAAGATTTCAACCTCTTGTTTAGTATTTAAACTTTTTGCGTGTGCCACAAATATATTCTTACGATCTTTAAGCTGTGAGCTGTGAAATATAGTTGACAGTGGCGAGGAATCGACTGTAGCGTTACTAAACATAGGTGAAATGTTTATTAATTTGTATATGGGTTTATTAAATTGACCAATCAGATTCCTAATGTAAGACAATGTAACAGTAATTAACATACAAGGAAATTTTGTTACTTTCATACTTTTCATGAACAATGTCTGACGACGAGTTTACCACCGACATTATTACCTTGACCCGTCACGTACTTGATGAACAACGCAAGCACAAGGAAGCTAGTGGCGACTTGTCAATATTGTTAAATGCCATTCAACTTGGTTGCAAATTTGTGGCAACCAACGTTAGAAAGGCTCGTCTCTTAAATTTGTAAGAATTCCAAATGATTTCGGGAATCTTTGGTTATATTGAACTTTGATAAAATTGTTCATGAAATTGATTTTTAATTTTAATATGCATTTCAATTTTGAAACAATCAGGATTGGTCTCGCTGGTGGTTCTCAAAATTTTTCAGGTGAAGAACAAAAAAAACTTGATGTTATCTCCAACGATATTTTTATCAATGCGCTCCGTTCATCTGGAAAAGTATCTGTGATGGTCTCTGAAGAGAATGACCAAGCAATATTTGTAGAAGAAGGCCTTAGAGGAAAATATTGTGTTGTATTTGATCCATTGGATGGTTCTTCTAATATTGATGCTGGTGTTAATGTGGGCACGATTTTTGGTATTTATCGAGTGGTAAGTAAAATAAAATGTGCGTATAAATTTTATTGTGTTTTATTGAGTTTATTTTTGTTAAAAGTTAAAGTTAATTATTTAAATTGATAATTATCAGCTTAAAGATTCCACTGGTTCTGTCTCAGACGTTCTTCGACCTGGCCGTGAAATGGTCGTTGCAGGTTATTGTATGTATGGTAGTTCTGCAAATATGGTTATTTCACTTGGAAGTAACGTAAATGGTTATACTCTTGATAATGTATGTTCAATTCGTTATATAACCGATTCTGCAAAAAATTTTATTTTTGCAAAAATTTTAATTCTTTTATATTTTCTTTAGTCCATTGGAGAATTTATCCTTACTCATCCTAATGTAAGTCAATAATTTCAAGTCAATAATTTCATAATAAATTCAATTTAGGAATTCTTAATTTCCCAATTTCAGATTAAAATTCCACCTCGCGGTAAAATATATTCTGTTAATGAAGGTAATGCCAAATATTGGGATGAAGCTTGTACCGAATATTTTCATTCCATTAAATTTCCCCCAGAAGGAAAAAGCCCATATTCAGCTCGCTACATCGGATCTATGGTAGCAGATGTTCACCGTACACTTTTATACGGTGGAATTTTTTCATATCCTTCTGATAAAAAATCAAAAAATGGTAAACTTCGTATGTTGTACGAATGTTTTCCAATGGCATTTTTGGTTGAACAAGCTGGTGGTAGAGCTACCACGGGTACTAAAAGTGTACTTGATATTATTCCCGAGTCAATTCATTCAAGATGTCCAATCTTTTTAGGTAGTAAGGATGATGTGGAGGATGTAGAAAAAATCTTCCATAAATATAATAAATGAATCATAATATTACAAATATTTATAATGTGAATGAAAAATTAGAGATTAGTAATTAGATTTACGTTTTATTTATATTGAGAAGATGTTTTGTTTTCTTAATTATTTATATTATTGATTTATGTTGGTCTACTTTTTTTTTCTGAAATAAAATGTCAACCTTGATATAAAATGACACAAGAAACTCCAAACATATGGTGTAAGATATGCAAATCACAAATTCATTAGAATTATTGTGAAGATTGAAATTTGGAATCTGATATTTATTTTGCAAGATAATTTCTATACAATATGAATTAATCAAAATGAATTATAGTATGGATTTGTCTATAGTATGGAAAACAATATTGATCCAGTGCAATAATTTATATATTATCAGGTTGATTCTTCTTATTGAGACAATTTAATGATAATTATTTTACAAAAAAATATTATTGATAAGTTTTACTGTAGTGAATTCAAAAGAATGAAACATACTTTAGTACTAATTGCAATATGATTTCTCTTTTATTTCCTTTCTTTATTCACAAGATAAGTTGAATAAATATATTTGCAAATAGTGCTACATATATCTGTCAAATAAAGAAAAAAAGGTATGGAGATACAATGTATAGGTAGAAATTCAGTATTGTACATTTCACATGTTCCTGGATTTTATTTACTTCTTATATGCTGTCCCTACCCTTAACTAGCTTATAAAGATATATTAAAACTTTATAATTATATGTAAAAATCGATTCTAAACAATGACTCAAAACAGGTTTTCATAATAAAACTTTGCATTATTCACATTTTAAAAAAAAATAATTTTTGTCTAAGCACTGTTCCATGATATCTCTTGACAAGGAAGATTTGTTAACTATTTTTTACAATTTTTAATTATTTGTATATATCTCAATTATTCTTTTTATAAATTTTACATGAAATCTAAAAACCTATATAATATAGATTTCATAAAAAATTTTTATACAAATTTTTATATATTTTGTAAAAGTTTTATATTTAATAATTTATCAGAAAATTTTTGGAGACAAAAATATCTAAATATATTTGAACTACATTATATCTGAATATATTTGACCACCCACACATTTATCCATATTAAAAAAACAAATATATTTACATATATTCAAATTTATCCAGATAATTATTTAAATTTATTCAAATTTATGTAATTATATTTGTATATATTTACATGTTATATGAATTTATTTAAATATATTCACATGTTATATAAATTTATGTAAATATATTTATATATATCTACAAATTTATCCAGATACATTTTCAAAGTTTTGCATATAACTTTTATATATTATATGAATTCATCCAAATAAATTTTGAATATATTTATATTTATGCTATACATGTTTCCAAAATTGATTTTGGATTTTTGAGATATTTCGACTTTTTGTGATTTAGTAGAATCTATTCTATATATAGAATTAAAAAAAGTATCCAGTTATGTGTATATTTTTTCAAGATTGTAATTTCAGGGTTCCTAAATAATTTTATATGCAAGTATAATTTATGCAAACATATTTAGATAATTTAACAAATTTGTATAATTATTTTTATATATTTTATATTTAAATTTAAAATTTATTTATTTTGATATAACAAATTATTTAAATATTTACAATAAGTTTTAAAATATTACAAAATATAATATTTTATTTTTTATATTACTTTTAAAAACTGGAAATATTTTTATTTTTTGTTTCTTTTAAAATATTTAAATAAATAAAGTAAATAAGAAAATTATAAATATTTAAAAAAATATCTATTTTTTAAACTTTATATTTTAAATTGATTTCTTTCTAAGAAGTAAATAAGAAAAATTATAATAAATATAAGAAAGTATTGAAATATTTAAAGACATAAATAAGAGTATAAATATAATAAAAATATTACCTTTTTTTCTTTATTTTATGTAAACTTTTGAAATAAATATTTAGATATTTTAAATGTTTTAAAAAATAAATAATGAAGAATATAAATGAAGATAAATATATATACCTATTTTATAAATTTTATATTTTACATTGATTTCTTTATAAGTAATAACTTTTGAAAATTATTTAAATAAAGTGTGAAAATAAAAAGTAAACTTGCAAAAACTAAAAGTAAACTTATGAAATATTCGAAAAAAAGAATAAAAAATAGTATAACAGAAGTTCTCTCTTATTGGTTGTCAGTTAATAAGATCAGCTATCAAAAAATTAGATTAGTGTGAACTATGATTAGCCAAAATATATAATATTAACTAGCTCAAAAAATGAAAAAAATAAAAATAAAAATGTATATATTTTATTTAGCATAACAAAAGTTCTCTCTTATTGGTTGTCAGTTAATAAGATCAACTGTCAAAAATTAGATCAGCATGAATTATACATGTTTCCAAAATTGATTTTGAATTTTTAAGGTATTTTGACTTTTTGAAATTTATGCAAAATCTATTCTATATATGAAAGTAAAAAAAGTACTCAGTTATATATATATTCAATCAAAGAATAGATCTGGGTGGTCAAAAAATTTTGGGTTTTAAGTAAAATAATTTCATCTTTTATGAAAAAACTATTTTATTGCTCTTTGCAAAATTATATGGTCATGTAATAAAACGATCTACTAATAAAATGTTGAAA